GGATTTGTCGTGCTTTTACTTCACTTGAGAATCATCCCAGAGTAGAAGAACACAGATGAGAATTTACAATTCAGAAATGCAGATTTCCATCTTTACTTTTACTTTACTCTGGAGATTTTCGTCTTCATTCCGGTGTGGGTTTTGTGTGGTGTGGTGAATATATTCCATGCAAAGGAGAAGCAGCAGCAGAAGAAGCAGCAGCATATCAAATAAGTTCTAATTAATGGGGAAGACAAAGCAAAGATTAAGATTTAAAAGTGCTCATTAAACGAGTCTTGAGAGAAAAAGGGACAAAAATTATGCTGGGAGAAACTGATACAAAAATGTCTAAAGACTATTATTCGAGGTCTTTTTGTGCCACGATTCCCTTTCCTTAAAAACTAAGGAGTTGGTTACTTTTGCCAAGTACGTATCATACACACAAGTTAGTTTTCTGGATGGGAAAATTATTCAGATTTCTCTCTCTTTCTCTCCATGTAAGTAATTCAGGCTGTATGCATTTGAGTGCCAGAATGCATTTCAAGGTTCCGTCGAGCTACATAAATAATAAGGCTGGTTGCTGGTACACAAAACTAGTGGGATCCGAAACTATGGTCATATTTTGTGGTTTCTGTATTTCGAGAAGGAGGACAAGATGACATTTATCAGCATTTAAATTAATTATTTGTTAATGAGTACAACTCTGGGCTGGGTATCGAGTCCTATTTTGTGTAGCTACATACATAACCATGCAGTATGACGAACAATTGCATCCAATTTATGCCACACAATGCAATCCAGTCGTACTGCACATCCAGTCATCCAACCCCACCAACCAACCAACTTCCTGTTTTAAGGAGGAGTGAATTAAAATTAACTTATCACTCGTGTCGAGTCAGGCTTGGTTTTCATTTGGGTGAAGAATACGAACCCAAGTTTACGAGAGAAATTCAATCGTGACGTTAATGTAGTTAATAACAGTGAGAATCTCATCATGAGATGGAGAGGATATTGTGATTGAATACTGGGACTGAAGTGGAGCTAATTTACTTGATGAGGAAGAAGTTGTGAGACACGCGTGCCGTTCCTAATTTCCGACAAGTTTTCGAAACGTATTAAGAACTTAAGTAATTTGGAAACCGTGTTACAAAAAACTTAAATCGCATTTATGAAATAAATTGGAACCAAATTTTCAAATTTTTGTATTACAAAAAATTATCTATCAAAATGAGCCAAAAAACGAAAACCCGTCTCTAACTAAACAGCACTTTGTTTCATTCCTCTTGGTAATTTACGCACATTTTAATTCTCGCTTTTACTTTCTCTCTCTGCTTTCATCTCTTTGGAAAGGAGAGGAAGTCTCCCACAAAGATTTAACACTTGAGCTACAAACACTCGTGTCCGGAAATGGATGCTGGAGTGCGAGCGATAAAAAACGTGACACGATATAATGTGACTCTCCTCTTGCCGGGTGGCAATTTCCTCTTGACAAATTGGTCCTATTACTGCGCTCCGATTACTGTACTACAATTCCCTCCCTGCATACATGCAAGCATTTCTCGCTGTTGTTGTTTTTCTTGTGCGAAAATGGGGTACAAGTTTTTAAACATTTATTTAAACATGTAAATCATTCTGTAAATAAAAATGCGTATTTGTATTGCGTATGTTCATTTTGTATGGTGTGATTTATGTGGATCTACGTGCGTGGGTGCGTATAGCGCATTTTTTACCAAGGAGGAGAGAAACGAGAACGGAAGGAAGGATGTGAAACGATGTACTTTCTCCGTCTTAAATCTTAAGTTGAATCTATGAACAGTTTTGACTTTTGAATTTAGTTCCGTTCCAAAAATGACTTTACTTTCTGTTTCTACTTTTTGGGAGTGATGTATTCGTTTTGTGTGTAATTCCCATTTCAGTTACGCATCATGGTTAGGGATTCCAATCCCGGACGATTTTTTAAATCCCGGGAATCGGGAATCCCGGTTTTCGCCGTGACAAATCCCGGGATTTTTTCCCGAAATTCAAATATTACCGTATAACTTAGTCAAATTATGGTGCACATGGCTCTAAAAGTACCGAGCCTGAGCATATTTATAATACTTACATTACATATTACATAATATTTACATATCTACTGATGTGTGTTTTCCAAATATGTGCATTCATAAGTATTATTATAAAGTATGCTATTTTCTGGCATACACATGATAGTAACATAAATTAGCGAGCATATTGTTTTGCCTGCTATGATAAATGCAAAATTTCGATGTATTGTGGTAGCTCAATTTTCGTCATCTATCTTGGAGAGGTGATGAGAAAAAGTTTGATAATTTCATTCCAGAAAACATAAATAATTAATCAAGGGTTCGCCACCATGTTAACCAGAAATGCACAAACTTAAGTTTAGCAGTATTATTTGGCCTAAATCGCGAACAATTATTCAAAAACTACAATTGGACATGGAATTTGGCAATTCAAAAATTTCAAGCTCAAATATACGAACTACCTCGTTCAGTCAAAAAGCTTTTCATTCAGCCTAAAATTCATCGACTAAAATTTGGAATCACTTGTAACGTTTTAGTGTTTTTGGGCATACGTGATTTCGGATTCCATAATTATGCCGAAAATACGGCGTTCTTGTTGCTTCAATTTAATATCTGACATCTAAATTAGAAAATTTTAAGTTCCATGTTGTATTAAAAATTTTATTTGTGAATTAAATACAAAATTTGGATGAATATTCGAAAAATACGGCTACCAATATTGTTTAGAATGTAAATTTTCGACTTTAGGATCAATTTTGACTGGTTATGCTCTTCAAAGCTTTTTCTTACCAATCATATAACCGAAAATTATATAAAACTGCTATTAAAATAGTAAATTACAAGTAATTTCACTTCTGAATGACAAATTGAAAAATCCCGAAATTCCGGGATTTCAGTCATTCAAATCCCGGGATTTCGGGATCCCGTTTCCCGGGAATTCCCGGGAATTAAATCCCGAAAAATCCCGGGACTGGAACCCCTAATCATGGTATACGAGTTTGGAAAGATGCATTTTTTTGTGGGAGTGCAGGATGCATGTTATTTTATGTAAATCAGGGTGGAATCTTGTTGGGGTGGATTGGATGTGACATGTAATGCTGGAGAAATATGTATGGGGAGGGAGGAGTGCATCCTTTAATCTTAATCTTATTAATGTTTTATATGTATGCGATTCTTAAATTTGAGTAAAATTTTATTTTTCAAGATTTCAGAAATGAAAGAATGTGATATTTTGTAAATGTGAAGAGGCTTTGGTCGAAGCTGTTGGTCGTATCTTTAAACTTTGTAGGGCAATACATATATGTAACAATAATTTCTACTTATAACTTCTAACTCACTCAAATTACGACATTGCATTAAAAAATCGTATTAAAAAAAATAATTCAAACATTTTAAAAATTTCAGCAGCAATTAAAGCTATTTATTAACTAACACTAAAACATGAAACATAGAATTCAACTCAAATGAATTTTTACAAGCCAAACATATTACATAAAATTTTGAGATTTGCATAATAAAAGTAAAGCAAATCTTCTCAGCATTTATGCAAATATTGCTACATACTTTCCAAGTCTCTCCAACAATTCCACCACCTTCATTTTGGCAAACATGCAAAAACCCCGTGACCACCATTCTCCATTTTTGGATCCATGCAACCAAGACGGCAACAACGACCTTAGGCAAGGTCTTATTTACGACGGAGGAAAACAAAGCCTTGTGTCTTTTTCTCTCTCCTTCTTTCCCACCATGCCTACTGCTGTCTGTCTGTCCGTCTACCTAAGTCCGACGGCCATGGCTTGTTGCATTCAGAAAAATAAAAATCCACCAGCCCCACTAAAAACCGGGTATAGCATGGCATACCTAATTCCACGCGTATAAGTCCAAATCCTGCAAAAGTTGGGGAGAGGGAAAGAAAAGTTGTGATGTTGACTTTCAATAAAGCCTCCACGCACAGTATGTCTCGCAGTGTGGAGGAAAAAACACTTTCTTTCCTTTGAAAGGACGAGACGAAGGAGACGTCGGGCCACACAGAGGAATGATGTGAAGGCGAATTTGAATGGGGAAGATGAGGGAAATGAATAAAAGAAAAGGAGAAGACGGAAAAAGCTGGATTATTTCTCTTTGACTTTTCAGTTTAAAAAGAAAGACTTCTCTTTTTGATGGGGGTGAAGAAAGTGAAAGTGAAAGAATGAGAGAGAGCGCACTATTTTCTTCTGTTCTTTCCTCCACGCCAGACGGTGTTTTAAACTACGTGTCGAAATATGCGACTAATGATGAAGCGGCGGAACGTAGAGGATTTTGTGAAAGTGTCAAAAAATACATGGATTTGAAACAATAATATAATTTTGAAGGAGGGTGGAGAGGGATAAAATTTGTAAAGTAGATGGAGATAAAGTATATGCAGCTTACAGGCAGGCTCGACACGTGTGTGGATATATAATAAATATACAACAGACAAAGACAGAGATAGAGAGACAAAAAAAATCCAATAATACAGTGAAACGAGCATAGTTAATTATTACCGGCAGGTGTGCAATGTAACCAGTTCACCAATAATTTTGGAAACAAATTTGGAAACATCTGAAAACTTGTACTTTTCAAAAATAACATATTTCAAATTTTTATAAACATCTGAATAAAAAACAAACAGACGTCGAAATTAAACGAGCACTACTACATAAATACTTGCATGAACTGTGTGTGTTTCAACAACATGTTCAGAGTACCAATAATGACAGCTATTCTAATAAATAGTAATTAATAACCAACTCCTTAATTCATTTCGCACATGCTTATGAGTCAGAAGGACCTCATCTAAAATACAAATACTTCTTCATATCTATTTAAATAATCATTTTGGCATTGAAATCTACCAAAAATTATAAATTTACAATCTTAATAAATCAACCACAAAATAATTTACTAAAAACATGCCCATTAAATTTAATTAATTTCTACTTTTTTTTCTTGTTACAGAACTCCAAAAATTGCCGATCTTCCCAATCCACTCCCAAGAAAAGGGAAAGGTAAGCAGATAGAAAACTCCCTTCATAATTGTATAACATCCTTCTACCCGATGGATACGTAGGCAGAGATGATTTCAACTTATATAAGGCCGTCATGCAACGCTCACCACATGATCTGACCTTGCCCAGGGGACGCCGTTAGTACATACAAAGTGCATGGCAAAGTTAAGTAGTTAAGTTAAAGTACAAGTAAAGCCTCCAACCAACCAACCACCTTCACGGTCCTCAAAGTCAGGTCGTCGTTGTCGGTGGTGCACAAAATCTTGATTTCACTCCGCAGAACAAAAGCAGTAACATCTTTGCCTCCCTCGAGCTAATCGTCGTCGTCCTCGTCATGATCCGATACCGCACAACTTACATCACGTTTAATACCGCAGGTAGGCGGCCAGGGATGAGATGAAACTGCACAATTTGCCAAAGTGGGAACGAAAATTGAAAATTTTTCAATCAGCTCGCTTTCTCTTTGTAAAGTGGGAATTCAACTTCACGTCCACCTTTTTTTTTGTTTTAGAGCACGCCATGGAAGGAAATTGATGTTGAAGGCGAGCGATTTTTTTCTTTGTTTGAGAGAACTCTCTCATTTCATGATGAAAAGAATGTTATTGTTAAGCTTGCAATTTACGGTTAAGTTTTTTGAGGAAAAAATGCAACAAGCCGAGTGAACTGATACATCGACTGTTTTTGTTTTCTTGCGTGGAAGATTACAGGATTGTGTTACATTTTTCTTCATGTTGAGAGTCATCATTAAACTTGGATGGACGAATTTACTCTGAAGGTTGTATATACATAAAACATTTTGGTGAAGGTGGATCCTTTGGTGGACGAAGAAAAAAATCAGGATTTGACGAGTTTTCTTGGAATCAATCTCATTTTATCTTTGAAGATGTTTTACATGGCTTCAAAAGTTTGCAACTTTCTCCACAACTTGGAAAATGAACATCAACTCGATTAGAAGATGTTTTGTGTAGGATTACTTCATTATTTGGATGCATACACAATTTCGGTATTTTTCACAGATTGATTATTTTTATTTTTTACGCTTTTTCATACTTCATTGGCATGTTACATTCTTGGTATTAAAACAAACTGGTTATAATCATCTATTATAATCAGGAATATAAGTGTGATCGCCTGCAGTGTCATTCTTTCCAAAAAGTATTAAACTTTTTCAACTACAACTTTCTCTACAATTTTCACTACACAAAGTGTCCCTCATTTTCAGTTTTACTCTCTTTAAAAACAAGAGAATCATCAGGTCTTCAGCTTATCGAGGAGAAAATCACGAATGGAAAAACTTGTAAAATAATATTTTTACTTACCCACCAAACCAAACCTCACTCCTCCTCTCACCAACCAACTAAGCTCCCCTGAACCATTCCCTTTTCTTGATCTATTTACAAGAAAGAGACCAAGTAAAATTCTTTTTCCCTTTGTATCCAATCCAGATTGCTCAAGAGCTCGAGTCTAAAAAAAGGGATTCGTACATAATAACACAACATGGACGGCTCTCTCTCAAAGTAGGAAAAAAGATAAGGTGCATATTTCATTACGTAATATATTATAATGCTCTTATTTACGACATGTCAAAGGCTCAAAGGAAGAGATGGTGGGTATAACATAAATATGTTACATTTCGTGCCTAGGTCTTCTCCTTATTCTCAGTTTATTATCCCATCAAATCATATTTCCTGCATCTACCCAGACCCTCACGGTGCACTCCACTTGCTCACTTTTTTGGTTCCGTTACGGTCAAAAATTCGGATTGAAAGGAGAAAGTGCTCCACACCATGTTCGGTTCACTTACTCACTTGAGACACACAATGGGACACACAATCTCGACTCTCGACTGCTAAATGCAATAAGGCAGGCAAAGCAGAGGAGGAGAAGGTAATCCCATTATTCGGATGAGAGTATGACAACATTTTTTTACGGGGTTGGTCCCTATCTCACTCGCTACGTATGTAGTTGCTCGTTGTTATTGTGCTGGGAAGAAGTCCTGGGCAGTATTTTTTATTCGGATAGAGAGAAGAGAGATATCTTTGTGTGTAGTAGTTGAACTGGTTTTTCATGAGTACAAATTCCATCAAGATGTGACCTTTATGCAAAAAAGAGCAATATAAAAGTATGATTATGTGGAATTTGTTGAGAAAATGGGGAATTTTAAGGGTTAAGGTTGTCCTGAGAAGGATGAGTGCGTGGTTTTGGAATTTTTACGTGGATGAGGAATAATTTTTACGTTTTGCGTGAGGAGTGTTGCGTTTTTTGTATTGCTGTTTTATTATTATTTATTATGCACAAAGTTTTTTTTTCATAGTTATGATAATTGTCAAAATTTAAAACTTGAAATTTAGCTTGATTTTATTTCAATTTCATCGTAAATATGAAATATAAAATTATAAAATCTAAATTTGTACGATCCAACGCCATAACAAAATTTAATAACTGTGGAAAATATTAATTTGTAATTAAAGATCAGCAAGAACAGCATACAGATTTGAATGTTTGAAGATTATGTCTATTACGTAATGCTACTTTCTATTTAGGAAATCTTACTTCTTTAAACGTTCAACTCTGCGGACAAAAACCTCCAGACAACTTGCATGAATCTTTTTGACAACCTTGAAAAAACGAGCTTTTTCTCATCCTTTTTCCACAAAAAGTCACACCACCACTTCATTCCTCTCACATTAATACTGTCGGATATATATCCCTAATAAATGGATGATGTTGATAGAATTTGAGAGAAAATGTCAGTTTTGTGGCCGCCTTTTTCTTTTTCCTTACTCTTTTAACACAAGTAAAGTAAAAGTAACGCACTAAATAAAAAATGTGGCCACAGCGGAGATGAGATTCTCTCCCGAGCAGGCCAGCACCATTTACAAAATGGATCTGTCACTCAGCATCTTCATCATTATCAACTACACGAAAAAAGAAGAAGTGTGAAGTTTTGTAGCTTTTTTTAGAGGTTGTCAAAAAAGCGTACAAAATTGCTCTTCTTCACAATAAAAAGTCACCCACACAGCCTTTCACATTATGAATGGTCAAGTTTTAAATGCATTCCATTCCTCTGCCCGAGAATAAATGATGGCACGACGGAATTCGATGGATGCACACGTCTGCATCCATCCCGTCGATATGGATCGTGTCTGACAAGACAACACAACATCCTGATGAGTCTAATGCATAACAATGGTAACAAAATAACCGAATTCAACCCCATTTTCTCTCCAGTGACTCGCACGCTAACGAATTTTGACAGGTGATCAACAATCTTATGAATCCTGAGCTTTCCGCATTTTTTCCGTAATGGGACACGTGTTGAGTGCGACGTCAAGTAAAGTGATGTGTGCAGACACTTGTTCTTTCTTTCTTGTAGACACGTTTCACATTATTTGAGAAGAGGAGATTACCGACCCGAGTGGAATATGGATTGTGAGAATATTTACTTTATAACGGGCTGAAAGGTGAACAATGAAGTGGTGAAAGTAAGTAAACAGAAAAAATAGGCACGAACTTATGGACCCGGCGAACCTACAGGTTTTGTTTAATATAAAGTTGCTTGCCTGACCGGAAATTAATTTTACTTCCACTTTCCCCACCACCGTGTAGGATAGGATGGGCTCTAATTGAGTCTTTTTCCAGGTATTGTGAGCGAAGAAGGTGGGTACACACCAAGAATTAATGAATATTGAAGACAAAAAAGTGGGAAACAATCTGCTCCTGTTTTTTGGTGGTGTTTGTCCTGCAGCGAGTTTGCTGTGGTTTTGTATAATAGCGCCCCACCACATATAGTTTCGCACCCATTAACCCAAATATTTTAAGCTAACGAGATAAATCATTTAAATTGCGAAAAGCCAATGTAATAAGAACTCTCGTTTGTAAAAGTAACGACGCAATCCATCCCCTTTATTACTCTGCCTTACTCTTGTTCGCTCCAGGTCCTAAATAAGTTACAAAGTGGGAGAAAGTCAACGCATAAATAAGTCGATACAGCGAGAGGAGAAAGCAATTTTGCGAGGGAAAAAGTATGCCTGGAAATCAATCGAGGTTCTGCGCTGATTTATGCAATGATTTCCCAAAGAAAAATCAGACCGTGCTGTAGTAAATTTACTTTAAATTAGCCATGGCCGAGAAAGTAATGAGGAAAAATGTGGGGAAAGTTTTTGCAAATCTGTTCACATTTTATTATTCGGAATTGGACCAGGTTTCTTATTTACTTTGGGAAGAAGTAGGCAAGGTCGTATTTTATGTGGGTGGCACCTCTCCATACGAGTTGGGTTGGTGCACTCTAAATAATTTGGAGAAAAATCGTCACCCGTGGAGAGAGGTACTAGTTTTGGGTGATTATTACGGAGACGTTTTGTCACCAGAGGGAAATAAGTCGAAAGTTAGTGTACTAAACATACGTGACGTCGGTATTTAAAAAATTGAACATTTAATATACTATTTTGCACGGTTTGGGGTTGCATTTTTCAACAATTTATTGATAGCTTTCGTACCTTCTTGATCCTTCTTCAAGTCAATTGATTTGAAAATTAAACATATTTAACTAACTATCAGATTTTTTGTGCCGTGAAAATATTGAATTTTTTAATCCGACGTCACATGTGTTTGGTGAACGAATTGTTGAATTATTTCCCGTTAGTGGCAAAACGTCTCCTTAATCATTACCCAAAAATAGATCACTCTTGTACCTCCGTGAGTCTATTTGTCTCCAAATTATTTAGAGTGTGATCGTATAGGAAATTTAAGCGAAAAGGGAAAATTGTACGAGTTGGTTTCCGTGATTTTCTATAAAAATGGACAAGTGAAGGCACCAGTTTCTCGGGGAAAGTTTATGGTGGTGGAGTATGGAGTAGAATTGTGGTCGTCCCGTCCATGCCTGGTCCGTCTGGTAGTAATGGTAATATGTTGAGCAGGATTTCCTTCCGGTGCAAATTGAATGCCTATTTTTTTCAGGGAAGAACCTGAAGTGCAATGGTTTTAGTTTTAGTGGAGCC